CGTGTGTCTCACAGGAGGTGTGTGTGTACACTGTGTGTGTACACTGTGTGTGTACACTGTGTGTGTCACTGTGTGTCACTGTGTGTCACTGTGACTGTGTCACTGTGAGTGTGCTGTGTGTCTCACAGGAGGTGACTGTGTGTGTGTACACTGTGTGTGTGTGTGTGTACACTGTGTGTGTACACACACACACACACAGTGTACATTGTGTGTATCACTGTGTGTGTGTATACTGTGTGTGTATGTGACTGTGTGCTGTGTGTCTCACAGGAGGTGACTGTGTGTGTGTACACTGTGTGTGTGCACTCTGCGTGTCTCACAGGAGGTGTGTATGTGACTGTGTGTACACTGAGTGTGTACACTGTGTGAGTGTGTGAGTGTGTACACTGAGTGTGTGTACACTGAGTGTGTACACTGTGTGAGTGTGTGAGTGTGTACACTGAGTGTGTGTACACTGAGTGTGTACACTGTGTGAGTGTGTACACTGTGTGTGTGTACACTGTGTGTGTGCACTCTGCGTGTCTCACAGCAGGTGCGGCGTCTTGAGGAGGCGAGACCCTCCGGGCTGCGTGGGGAAGACGTCCTCCAGGAAGTAGTACACGTGACCCACCGCTATACCTACATGCGTGTCACATGTTACACACACGTGACCCACCGCTATACCTACACGCGTGTCACATGTTACACACACGTGACCCACCGCTATACCTACATGCGTGTCACATGTTACACACACGTGACCCACCGCTATACCTACATGCGTGTCACATGTTACACACACGTGACCCACCGCTATACCTACATGCGTGTCACATGTTACACACACGTGACCCACCGCTATACCTACACGCGTGTCACATGTTACACACACGTGACCCACCGCTATACCTACACGCGTGTCACATGTTACACACACGTGACCCACCGCTATACCTACATGCGTGTCACATGTTACACACACGTGACCCACCGCTATACCTACACGCGTGTCACATGTTACACACACGTGACCCACCGCTATACCTACACGCGTGTCACATGTTACACACACGTGACCCACCGCTATACCTACATGCGTGTCACATGTTACACACACGTGACCCACGCTATACCTACACGCGTGTCACATGTTACACACACGTGACCCACCGCTATACCTACACGCGTGTCACATGTTACACACACGTGACCCACCGCTATACCTACACGCGTGTCACATGTTACACACACGTGACCCACCGCTATACCTACACGCGTGTCACATGTTACACACACGTGACCCACCGCTATACCTACACGCGTGTCACATGTTACACACACGTGACCCACCGCTATACCTACACGCGTGTCACATGTTACACACACGTGACCCACCGCTATACCTACACGCGTGTCACATGTTACACACACGTGACCCACCGCTATACCTACACGCGTGTCACATGTTACACACACGTGACCCACCGCTATACCTACACGCGTGTCACATGTTACACACACGTGACCCACCGCTATACCTACACGCGTGTCACATGTTACACACACGTGACCCACCGCTATACCTACACGCGTGTCACATGTTACACACACGTGACCCACCGCTATACCTACACGCGTGTCACATGTTACACACACGTGACCCACCGCTATACCTACACGCGTGTCACATGTTACACACACGTGACCCACCGCTATACCTACACGCGTGTCACATGTTACACACACGTGACCCACCGCTATACCTACACGCGTGTCACATGTTACACACACGTGACCCACCGCTATACCTACACGCGTGTCACATGTTACACACACGTGACCCACCGCTATACCTACACGCGTGTCACATGTTACACACACGTGACCCACCGCTATACCTACACGCGTGTCACATGTTACACACACGTGACCCACCGCTATACCTACACGCGTGTCACATGTTACACACACGTGACCCACCGCTATACCTACACGCGTGTCACATGTTACACACACGTGACCCACCGCTATACCTACACGCGTGTCACATGTTACACACACGTGACCCACCGCTATACCTACACGCGTGTCACATGTTACACACACGTGACCCACCGCTATACCTACACGCGTGTCACACACACGTATCACACACGTGTCTCACACACGTGTCACACACGTGTCTCACACACGTGTCTCACACGTGTCACACACACGTGACCCACCGCTATACCTACATGTGTCACGGCATCACACACACGTGTCACACGAAAGGACACCCCCCGTATAGCCCCAGTGCTGGCGATGTTCACTACACACCACCGCTACACCAGCTACTCGTTTGAGGCTGAGTCGACCTAGGAGAGGCCCAGGACCAGGTCAGATAATCGACAGCGGCGGTGGTGGCCGTGGTGGCCGTGAGTGCCCCCCGCCATTACCCTACCCACAATGCCCCTCACCACAATACCCACAATGCCCCCCACCACCCACACTACACATCCACGTACCCAGCAAGTCTACAATGACGGAGTTCCCCAGCAGCAGTGAGAAGCCCATTACCCTACCCACAATGCCCCCCACCATTACCCTACCCACAATGCCCCTCACCACAATACCCACAATGCCCCACACCACAATACCCACAATGCACCCCCCCCCGGTGTAGTAGTATCCACGTACCCAGCAAGTCTACAATGACGGAGTTCCCCAGCAGCAGTGAGAAGCCCATTACCCTACCCACAATGCCCCCCACCATTACCCTACCCACAATGCCCCTCACCACAATACCCACAATGCCCCCCACCATGACCCTACCCACAATGCCCCCCGCCACCATTAACCTACCCACAATGCCCCTCACCACAATACCCACAATGCCCCCCACCACCCACACTACAATGCACGTACCCAGCAGGTCCACGATGACAGAGTTCCCCAGCAGCAGCGAGAAGCCCATGAGCACCCACAATGCCCCCTGCCACACACACTACAATGCACGCACCCAGCAAGTCCACGATGCCCCCCGCCACCCACACTACAATGCACGTACCCAGCAAGTCCACGATGACAGAGTTCCCCAGCAGCAGCGAGAAGCCCATGAGCACCCAGGGCAGGAACGGCGCCTGGAAGTTGAGCAGCCCAAAGAAGTTCATGCGCACGAAGGGATTGCGTCGGCTCCACACGTACACCAGCATGATGGTGAACGCCTGGCCCAGGAACACCAGGCTCACACACAGGCCGCACAGCTGGTGGTCGTGGTGGTCAAGGTGGTGGGGGTGGTGGTCAAGGTGGTGGTGGTGGGGGTCAAGGTGGTGGTGGTGGGGGTCAAGGTGGTGGTGGTGGGGGTCAAGGTGGTGGTGGTGGGGGTCAAGGTGGTGGTGGTGGGGGTCAAGGTGGTGGTGGGGGTCAAGGTGGTGGTGGTGGGGGTCAAGGTGGTGGTGGGGGTCAAGGTGGTGGGGGTGGTGGTCAAGGTGGTGGTGGTGGGGGTCAAGGTGGTGGTGGTGGGGGTCAAGGTGGTGGTGGTGGGGGTCAAGGTGGTGGTGGTGGTGGTCAAGGTGGTCAAGGTGGTGGTGGTGGTGGTCAAGGTGGTGGTGGTGGTCAAGGTTACATTCACGTGGTGTGTTGTGTGTGGTGTGATGTGTGTGGTGTGTGTGGTGTGTGTGTTGTGTGTGGTGTGATGTGTGTGGTGGTGGTCAAGGTCATGGTGGTGGATTGTCAATGTTACATTAACGTGGTGTGTTGTGTGTGTTGTGTGTGGTGTGTGTGGTGTGTGTGGTGTGTGTGGTGTGTGTGTGTGGTGTGTGTGGTGTGTGTGGTGTGTGTGGTGTGTGTGTGTGGTGTGTCGTGTGTGGTGTGTGTGTTGTGTGTGGTGTGTGTGTGGTGTGTGTGTGTGTGGTGTGTGTGTGGTGTGTGTGTGGTGTGTGTGTGGTGTGTGTGTGGTGTGTGTGTGGTGTGTGTGTAGTGTGTATGTAGTATGTAGTGTGTGTGTGTAGTGTATGTAGGATACGCTCATGAGGAGGCCCCCGAACAGGAACATGAACACGAAGTCGGCTGTCCGCCCACGGAACGACCCCTCCTCCAGCATGCGGCAGTAGCGGTAGCTATGGCAACGTTAAGTCAACAACAACAACAACAACCACAACAACAACAACCACAACAACCACCAGACTCGCGCATGATCACTCGCGACACGGCTGATGATGATGATGCTGCTGCTGATGATATTGACGGTGCTACTAATAACATTGCCGCTGATGATGATGGTTTTACTGCTGCCGATCATGCTGCTGATGTTGTTCATGTTGATGATGATGATGTTGTTGATGATGATGATGTTGATGATGATGATGTTGATGATGATGTTGATGATGATGTTGATGATGTTGATGATGATGTTGATGTTAATGATGATGATGATGTTGATGCAGGATACAGGAAGACCATGTTGATGTTAATGATGATGATGATATTTATGATGATGATGATGTTGATGATGATGCAGGATACAGGAAGACCATGTTGATGTTAATGATGATGATGATGTTTATGATGATGATGATGTTGATGATGATGCAGGATACAGGAAGACCATGTTGATGTTAATGATGATGATGATGTTAATGATGATGATGATGTTTATGATGATGTTGATGTTGATGATGATGCAGGATACAGGAAGACCATGTTGATGTTAATGATGATGATGATGTTTATGATGATGATGATGTTGATGATGATGCAGGATACAGGAAGACCATGTTGATGTTAATGATGATGATGATGTTTATGATGATGTTGATGTTAATGATGATGATGATGCAGGATACAGGAAGACCATGTTGAAGAGGAAGTTGAATCCCACCGGTCCAAAGAAAAGAAATTGGTGATCAACCTCCAGACCTGCAGACACACACAGACACACACACACACAGACACACACACACACACAGACACAGTCACACACACACACACACACAGTCACACACACAGTCACACACACAGACACACACAGTCACACACAC